GGGGGAAAAAAAAAAAAAAAAAAAACTGCAATAAATGCATATGGTAGACTCCTTTTCAAGAAAGTCAAGAAAGGAAACGGAAATGGCCGGATCAGAAAGCTTGAAAATCTAAATCTTCATGCAGAATATAAAGATTAACGACTGTGCATACAAAATACATCACCAAAACAAATCACTGACCAAATTTAGGTATACAACGTAGCTTATTTCTGCTATTTGGGCATAAGAACTTCCGCTCCCGATGTCGAACAATGCCGCTAGAACTTTGGCATCGGCATTTAAATACAGCGATCACTGAAATTAGGGCACCGCAGGGGAATCTCCCGCCAATCTTTAAACAAAGAAGCTACATCAACGGCCAAGCACAAAATTAATTTTAAGACGTTGGAAATCGACGGTGGTGATGATAATAACTTTAGTTTAATTTTCAAATTAATTTTACACTATCTAATTTATTTATTTATTCTTATCAAAACTTCAAAATCTATTATTTAAATAATTGTTTTAAACGAAAACTAAAAAAATATTAAATTCGTCTACCAATTCAAATAAAATAATTGTTAACACTATAATTTAAAAATAAATTATCTTAAATTTTTTGAAGGAAGAGTGGATTAGAATACAAAAGAATAATTAAAAGAAGAAGAAAAAAAGAAAAAAAAGCCTTGAACAATTGCTTTTGACGGAGCAAATGGATCTTAATCTGGAAGCACATACAAATATTTATGGATTCTGATAGAAATTGGCACACCCAGATTCCAGTATTCCCGATTCGTTCTTGATTTTCCCTTTCATTCCTTCTAAATTCTGAGTTCATTCATCCCCCCCTTTCCATTTTTTCGCATCGTCAACTCCAATCTTTCGAGATTTGTGCTATGAAATTTGGGAAGGAATTCAAAACCCATCTGGAGCAGACGCTTCCCGAGTGGAGGGACAAGTTTCTGTGTTACAAACCCCTCAAAAAGCTCATCAAGCACTACCCTAATCTCCCTTCTACCATTGATCCAATACCCACCAACTATTCGCTTAATTTTGTTCTTCCTCCCCCTCAGCAGCCGGTTTCCTTTGACGATCCTACCGATTCTACGTCTTTTGAATCCGTTCGTGACCGCTGCGAGACGGGTGAGGGTTCTTTGGTTGACCTGCAGGATTGGTTCGTTAAGATTCTGAATGAAGAGCTGGAGAAGTTGAATGATTTTTATGTTGATAAAGAGGAGGAGTTTGTTATTCGATTTCAGGTTCTCTGTTTTTTGTTTTTGGCGACTGTTCTTCGATTTGCCTGCCTGTTGCTCTGATATGTACATGCATTTACAATTTGGGTTTACTGTGTTATTGCTTTCTCTGTGGGGTATTTGACATTTCTAAGCTAATTGGTAAAGGGTTAGAAAGTTGAGATCTCTGCTAAATTGTTATGAGATTAAGAAACCTATCTGAAGTGGAATGTGCACTATGCCCCATATTTTGGATTACAGTAGGAGTTGAGCCATCCGTGGCTATGCAATCGAGTCATATTGGCCTTCGTATGAGCCTTCACGGCAGCTTCTGTCTCCCTGGATTAGAGATAAGCAATGCCTGAGTAGGTCGTAGAAAAGTCAGCTTACTATATTATGGTGTAAAAGACCAAGCTCACCGCTAGCAAATAGTGTCTATTTTGGAAATTTTCCCTCAAGGTTTTTAAAATGCGTATGCTAGGGAGAGGTTTTCACACCCTTATAAAGAATGCTTCGTTCTCCTTTCCAACCGATGTGGGATCTCACAATCCACTTCCCTTCGGGGCCCTGCGTCCTCGTTAGCACTCGTTCCCTTCTCTAGTCGATGTGGGACCTCCCAAATCACCTCCCTTTGGGAGTCAGCGTCCTTTTTGGCACACCGCCTCGTGTTCACTCCCTTCGGGGCTCAGTTTCCTCACTGGCACATCGCCCAGTGTCTGGCTCTGATACCATTTGCAATGGTCCAAGCCCATGTCTTTTTTGGACTTTCCCCTCAAAGTTTTTAAAACCTAGAGAGAGGTTTTTATGCCCTTTTAAAAAATGTTTCGTTCTCTTCTCCAACTTCTGTGAGATTTCACATATGGTGCTCTTATAACTTTTTTGGGGTGGCCATGATGATGTTTAGTTCTTCTCGCCTCGCACTTTGGTTCTGTATGTTTATGTTTTCTGCATAATGTTTTCAGGGTTATATTCTTGGACTTGTTCCATTAAAAACTATGTGCTATGCTAATTTCGTATGGAGATTGGAAAGGTTTCAGGCAGTTTATTAGCTGTCTAATGATGCTTGAGTTCCTATTGACACAGGAACTGAAGCAAAGAATTGATCATGTCAAGGAAAAAAGCAGCAGGGGAGGCGTTTTCTCATCAGAGAGTGAATTCAGTGAAGAAATGATGAACATTCGTAAGGACTTCGTTGCCATTCATGGAGGAATGGTGCTTCTAAAAAACTATAGCTCCCTGAATTTTGCAGGTAAATGACCTCAGAGGTAAAGTAAAAGATCAATCTATAGAAACTTAAGCGTAATATCATGCATTTTTCCTAAGGAGAGTTAAAAATTGTAAGTTCATATCCAACTTTAGAATACTTCCTCTGGCTTTTGGTCCCTAGGTGCATCGTTGTTATGGTTCATGTTCTGTAACTCAGGCATAAGAAGCTTTCGAACTATGAATTATTTTCAGGGCTAATAAAAATTCTGAAGAAGTACGACAAACGAACGGGTGAGCTGTTGCGTTTGCCTTACATGCAACTTGTAGTACGTCAACCGTTCTTTACAACAGAACTTCTCACAAGTCTGGTTCATCAATGTGAGGCAAATCTCGAGCTACTCTTCCCATTGGAAGCAGAAGTCGTTGAATCTACCCCAGCCATACAAGTTGATCAGAACCCGATACTCGATAGCTCAAGAACTATTACTGCCAAGACACCTTCAAATCTTGGGGAGGAAAGTGAGGATTTATATCGAAGCATTGTCGCTGCGATGACAGCCATTCGTGGCCTACAAAAAGAAAGTTCCACCAACAATCCATTGTCATTTTCTTCTCTCTTTAAGAATCAGGACGACGCGAGTACCGGTGCTGTGACCGATCAGAACTCTCCCTCTAACTCATCAACTTCTTTGCCTAAAGGTAATGAAGATGATGAATAGTTTTGTTTTTTTCTTTTCAAGAGTTCACCTTTTGACTCCATACACAAATCCAACTTGAACGAGAGATATCTAATTTTGTACATTCGATGTATAGAACCCTTTGTTTTGACTCTTTCGCTCTTCTATATAAGTTCTATGTTCCATGTTTGCTGTCATTTGATATTGTTCTACTTCTACATTGCAAATGAACTTGAATTGTCGAATCAATCCATTTGTATGAAGGAAATAGTATCTTTACTCCTTTCTCTTTTTCCTTTCTACAGATTCTCAGGGTAAACTAACCCTATTTCTTGTTCAATATGATAGGGCAACAACTTACTTTCTACACTTGAATCACAAACAAAAAGAAAATCAAGCCATGTGTAAGAATTAAAAAAATTAGTAGAAAAAGTATCTGTGTTCTTCATTAGCCGGTCCTCATCTCCTCATTGTCGTAGTTGAAAGGAAGTGGAACAGAGTTGAATGCCCTGTATTTCCCCACATTGTTTAGGTGCTCATTCTCCAACCTGAAGAATTCAAAATTTACAAGTCTTTCTTTCACAAATAAGAACTTTCCTCTTAATTCATTCCCTGAGATTATAAAGGAAAGTAGAACACACCTGAAGAAATTCCAGATTCCTCGTCGAATGATTTCCAACACGGCGACAATGGCAATCAACGCTTGTCTATGGATGAATGGAGCTTCTCTAAAACCTAATACTGATTGCATCCAAGCAAGCCGTAGCAAGACATTCAGTACCTGTAATTCAGATCCCAAGTATAATTATCAGCTACTTTTGGTTTTAATAGCAGAAAGCAAACTGCTTTTCCAAGTAGTGTTCTTACAATTGCTGCAAAGTAAACACTCTTGTTGGATATTAGTAATTTGTCTCTCAACCATGGATTTTTCGAGTTGCGTCGTAAGAGGCCCCAGTCACATACTATATCCCAATATGTGCCTGATATTGTTGCAACAACAGAACTAACAAGAGCCAAGGTTCTCCATGTCAACCCCATATTCAAATCATTGCTTGTTCTCATTGCAATTGCAACAATTGTTGAGAAGTACTTCAGTCCATTAAACACATGCTTTACGTCTTTATCTTCGATCAAGCGCCGAATGCACTGCAAGCATTAAACAACCTTAGCTCTGATGGTTTGATACATTAAAGAAGTTGATAAAAAATACCAGCTAAACCAGCTGATTACCTGAAGAGTACGAATCCAGTATGGAATAGTTGCAACAACGAAGTAAAAAGCTTCAAAAATTTTGCTCTGAGAGCACGAATTCGTTCGTCGTATAAAGTCACCCCACCCATAGTAGCAGATATAGAATTCTAAACTTCTGAAGGCTTGCACCTGATGTGAAATTGTAAAGCGTATTAGTTTTGTTGTTTAAAATTTCCAGGGAGCACGAAAGATAATGAAATCAGGTGAATGTCAAACCTGGCTGGTAAGTTGATCTGCCAAGAAAAAGTCTTCCATTGTAACCTAAACGCAAAGAAGATGTGAATTAGCACTAACCCAACACTTTTTCGATCAAAAGTAGAAAGTCATATTTGTTAAACTTCTCTTCTCATGACTACCTTGTAGAACGGAGCGCAGACCAAACGAAATGCACTACGAATGAGGAAGAAGCGGCTAGAACGGAATATGATGTTGAAAGGACAAAATATTATAAGAAGAACAGCCTGCAAAATGAGTTCAGTTCAGACATGGCTTTACTCTTAATATAATAGCTACAGCATGAAGATATAAATACTAGAGGCATGCACTACACAGTGAATGGTGGAGCATACAGTGAGTAGAGCTAAAGGAATCGACTCGGTTAGGGCTTCGTAGCTTTTGGTTTCTGGGTCAATCTCCATATCCAAATGTGAGAGAACACATGCCAATGTGAGCACCGCAAGACCTGAACTAAGAAAAAAGACCTCTCGATGACCCAACTCTGTTCCTTGCTTCAAGCCAAACATAAATGTGTAATTGACACGGTAACGCCTCCAAAAGTATATATTTGCAGAGTATATCATCAGGTGCAAGATGATGAATCCAAAAAAGCTGAAAAAAGTACAAAATCAATATATTTATGTAGATGGTAGCTGAAATTCAAAGTGGCTATCTAAAATTACCTGTAGAGAGGAAATATGTTATTCATATACTGGTTGCGCCCTTCGCTCTCAAATATATCTCTTAGGTGTATAACTAAAACGATGGCCACTATAAGTGCAAGAGCACAGCCGAAGAAGAAACCTGCAGGTAATCAATTCAGATTTATGATCATAAGACATCGCAATAATATCTCCATGTTTCCTATATGTTTATAATACACACTCTGGGAAAATTCATGAACTCAAGCTTGAAAAACATTAGCTTTTGCTCTACAAGTATTGTTACCGGAGAAAAATGTAATTCCATGTCTTTCCCTTCTGATTTTTCTTCTCAAAATGTCCATCCCTCTTCTTCGGTTTCCATTTGCGAAGTGCTTAATGAAAGCAGCCTCCACTCTTTCTATGAGCCTTGTAAGCTGTGGCGGTACCGAAACATTTCAGGTAAGAATTGGCTAAATATATCACAATGAAGCTTCAGGAATTGTAACAGACCTCAATAGTGCAACCAAGAGGAGATTTATCCACCATATCTAAGTAGACCTTTGACACTTTACGTGATGTTATCTGAATTGA